CCAGCAGTAACACCCGCTCCTGCAGTCTACCAACCCCCAGTACACCGTACCCCAGCCGCACCACCAGCTAACAATTATATACAACCAGCCCGATTTAAGGCCCGGGAGTACTCCCAACCCATCCGGTGCTATGGGTGCAAGCAGTTGGGGCACAAGCGTCCTGAGTGCCCACTGAACAGTGCCAACCAGGCTCAGTCCTGGATGAGACCAGTTAATGGAAACCAGCGCCCACCTCAGCCTGCTGCTCACTGCCTAGAGCAGGAGGAATTTTGGGGCATTCTACACGAGGCAGACCCAGTGCAAGCAGCTCACCAGGATAATCGCCAGCAACATCGGCAAACTGTGAAGCTGAATGGCAGAGTGGTGAATGGGCTGAGAGACACAGGAGCCACGATGACACTGCTCCAAAAGAACTTGGTCTCAGAGCATCAGCACACTGGGGACACTGTGGCAGTAAGGGTAGCAGGGGGTGCCGTGTTTCGTTTACCTGTTGCCTGAGTACATTTGGATTGGGGAGTGGGCGCTAGACATGTGGATGTGGGGGTGATGAAGGACTTGCCCGCAGATGTTCTTTTGGGAAACGATTTGGCCCCTTTGGTTTCAGCCTATGCTCCGATGGGCCCTGCAGATGTGAACCCAGTGACCACCCGTGCCCAGACCAGTGCTGCCGGAACCAGCCCACTTGCTGACGAGACCCAGGTAAGATCTCCTTCCCCGACTGGTACCCCAGATCAGGTTCCCTTGAGCTGGGATTCCCCAGAGGAGTTTGGGAGGGAAACCCGGGCAGATCCGACCCTCCAAAGATACAAGGACAGGGCAGATGCTGGGGAGGAAGGAATAGATGGAGAACGGTATGAGTGGGTGGGGGACGGGTTGTATAGGATCCCTAAACCTTCCCAGAAGAGTGTTGCCACTCCGCCGAATCGCCAGTTAGTGGTACCTGCAAAGTACCGGCAGGAGATTCTGCGGATAGGGCATGATGTTCCATTAGCTGGACATCTAGGGTCCCGCCGCACAGCCTATAGGATCTCACAGAACTTCTTTTGGCCAAACTTTAACCAGGCTGTGCGGATGTACTGCAGTACTGTCTGTTAGGACTGTAGGCTTACATAGTTGGTTTGAGGAGCAGGATCTGTTACGAAGGCCACGAGTGAGGAGGTGCTGTCTGGTTACGAAGTGGCGGATTAAGCTGATGGGTTTAGAACTGGTTTTGATGCTATGGGTGCCCCAGGAATCTACTTTCTCCCCCTTTGAGTATGGGAGACGGGTCCGCGGAGCGGGGCCACTGGGAGGGGGAGACGGAGCAGGAGGGGACCCCCATGTTTAACTCCGGGACCGCATGGAGAAACTGTCCCTGCTCTGCTCAGGGTGCCCGACAGCGGGTCTTCCAGGTGTATTGGTGCTTAAACCTGTGCCAACAAGATGGGGAGGGCTATAGTGGCGCAGATCTGCGACACTGATAGCTATGGAACGTGAAAACCAGGAGAGACCTGAGAATATTGCAGCAGTATGTGCTGCAGATGATTCTGAGAACTTACCAGATCTATTAGAAAGATTCCCAGACTGGGGGAACGCCCCACAGAAAGGGTACAGGCGCAGCAGTTGTTATGGGAGAAGAGTTGCGACGTTCCCCCAGGAACCAGGTTATACCACCCTAGCTGTGCATAAGGTAGAGACCCCTGACAGACCCCGTTACGACAGCCCCCCTAATGTATCCCTGAAGCATCCGTGAGGGAATGCGGAAGGAGATACAGGATGATGACCCAGCTTTTTATCGAGCACTCCGACAGCTCTTGGGCCTCCACCTGTAATCCTGGTGCCAAGAAAGATGAGACCACCCGGTTCTGTGTGGACTACAGGCGACTCAACGAGATACCACCACTGACGCCTACCCAATGCCCCGGGTAGACGAATTACTGGATCGTATTGCCAGGGGACGATATCTGACCACCATAGACCTGTGTAAGGGCTACTGGCAGATCCCCCTATTATTTGTTCAAATCCGTTCAGTTTTTTGGAGATCTTAAAGTCCCTTGAACGATGCCGCTGGATATTCATTGTTCCACAATTCCTGTGCGTCGTCTATTTAATTCGGGAGTTTGGAGCACGTTCGATGGATTTAGTGATCGGGATGATGGAAGTTTCAGCAGTGGTTCGTGGGTTACAGAGTAAGCGAACAGAGACTGTACTGCAGCCGGGGAAGGTTTAACTAAAAAAGAAGGCGGTTTGGCTTAAAGACACGGGAGGTGTCTTAACATATACCCATTTAGCACAATTATTTATGTATTACCTAGAGTGAAACTTTTTCAATATAAAGTAAGTCCCTCTCAACATTGGTCTCAGACAAATGATGACATTTCTGACAGATTCAAAAACAAAACAAAAACAAATCAAGTGACAAGGAGGGATAGCTCTGGACTTTTGCCCGTTCGTCTGTTTGTCCCCGTTCGTATGAATGGCTGGTTTCTCTAGCCCAGCCATTCGAATGACTCTTTTTCCCGAACAAAACCGCCGAACAACGGCCACCCAAGTGAGGAGTGTGCTGCAGGTTAACGAAGTGATCACCATTATAACGTTGTGGTTAACCGCAGACACTTCTCAATTAAACCGAACTCAGGGTCAATGTCGTTCGTATGTCGACCACGAGGCAGCGGCCATTTTAAATCATGCGAACGCTCAGCGGTGTTTGGCTCTATTTCTATGGAACGGAAAAGGACACTTTTTCTGTCGAAACCGCTGAAACAAGGGAACGTCTGGCTGCCTCCACGAAAGCATGCGAACACCGGCCAGATACAAAAGACTTAACCCAGATAGCCCACCCATGGAGTCATTTGTGTACCGAAGGACTGTAAGAACTTTGACTCCATGGCGATTGAACTATGTGTGTGGGATCTGAGCGCTATTCGCCAATAATATGCACTCAGATCCAGGCTATCTGGGGACATGTAATACGAATGGGAAATGTTCAGTTTTCATGTAGTTATACATTTTTATGTCTTTTATTATTTTATGTTTAAAATGGCGACTGTCCTTGTCCTGGAGTTAATTGAGTTACTTGGTAATTAACTCCAGGACAGAGGGGAGGGAATCAGAATGCACTGTGGGTAAGATATGTGACTGTGTGTCAGAAATGTCCTTCTATCTGTCTGTACTTTAAGTCTTCCATTTGGTCCCCTAGGGGAGTGTCCACCAGGTGGGAGACCTGCATAAATACGGGCAGGTAGCCCACAGTAAAACCAGATCTTATTTGACCCTCAATGAGGAGCTTCTGTCTCGTTATTAGGGGGATTTCTTCTTCACGGTTTGAGACTGCTGGATGGAACGAAAGCCGCTTTG